TGCCCGCGTTCGGGTCGCGCACTCAGCGATGAGCCACTTCTTCCCCACCGCACCTACCCCGCTCCCCCCACGACCCGTTCGCCTTTCACCGCTGCCGGTATTTATCACCGAAACGGTATTTATCGCCGAAATTGCTATGACTCTGCATTTTAAATCTGTGATATCTTCGAAAATATTTATTTAATTTACATGCTGTAAAAAGCCATATTGATCTTTACTAAATGCACAATGTATTTAAGATACTTAATTGGATAAGGATTAATACTGTATTGCTTAAAATCGCTTCGTAAATAAGCCATTATTTCTCGTACAAAGTAAAGGATAAAAAATGGTTATTGTGGGTTATTCCTAAGAGATAAACATATACCATCACGGACTTTTTTGTAGACCTTTTTAAGTTGTACAATACTGTAGTACATTGTTTTGATCTATCTTGTAGGATTCAGTCAGCGTTTGCAATGTAAGCGCAAAAAATGTGTTTTTTTACGACCTCACATTAGAAACCTCAAAAATTGTAGCCTATGTGTTATTCTGATGTATAAGCTATAGCCTATGTGTTATTCTGATGTATAAGTTATATTGTGGTAAAGTTTCATTCAAATCCATTCAGTAGTTTTTACGTGAAAGAGTAACAAACATCCATACATCCATACTTACAAACTTTCGCCTTTATAATAGTAGTAGGATTAGGTAGAAAGAATATTCATTATACTTGCATTTAGTAGCCCAAAATTAAAGTTAAAAAAAAGTGTACGCATCTGCCCCGCTTCCCCCTACTGATTATAACTTGATATTACTTGAACGTAGTTATTTTTTTATTTTAGGATTTAAGCGTATATATATGAATTTTTAATTAAAGGAAACGAATTTGTAAAATGTAAACATTTTGCAGACAAAAATGTAGCTTTTGGGATTTTCGCTTCAACGGATCTAGCAATACCACGGTAACACTGTTGTTGAATCTGATAACTGCGATTCGCGAATCGCGGTCAAACCATCCGTTATCCGTAATTCACGCAATGTAACCTACTGGCAACACTGCACAATATTCATTTGCTATCATTGCTGTCATATTGTGATGCGTTATCATCTCTATTAAGTTTGTGATATTGTGTGCAAAACTTACTGTTGGGTCATGGGAAAATTTCCATTTAAAAAAAATCATGTTTATTTGAAAAAAAAAATATTTTTCCACATTAATTGACGTTTGACTCCTGTCAAAAGTTAAAGTTACTGACCGAAAGCGATGGAGTCTACAAGAGGTGGTGGTGGTGTAGTTGTTGAAGGTTTTTTGGCTGTTGTGAAATCATTTTAAATCTCGTTTTTCTTTTATGTGGCTTTTAGCTATACTAGTTTATTTTATATTTTAATTCACGCTAAATAAAATTTCAAAAGATATTTCTAAACATATAGATATGTCTTTGAAATTATATTTTTCCAATTTTTCGGGAATTTTTCCGGAAAAATTACCACTATTTGAATTTTTTGGAAAATTACCCAACAGTAGCAAAACTACAAATCAGCGGAATAACAGGTTATCTGGAAAATAGTTCACAATAACAGTTCTTGACAAATCGCATAACAGTATAATTCATTTCATGACATACAGCCGTTCTTGCCATATATATAATTGAGTATAAAATTGTTCGGAGCTCCAGTGACGTATGAAAAAACTAAAACGTAACTTTTTTGGTACATACAAAAACACCATATTGATGATATTGATGATATATTTTTGACTGATTGATTAGACTGGCTCCTGCTCGGTCTTCAAAGTGAGCAATCCCATCTTTATGTATAGTTCAAACGACGATATGAGCTAGTTAAGTTTTTAATTTTTTATTTCCGTTAGTCGTTTAGTAATTACTGCTCGAGATTTGGGAAAGAATAGGATTCGTGAGATGAACGACGCTATAATTTAAACGGAAATTTTTATTTTCCTTTTGACTTTAATGTGTTTTTAGACAAACTTTATAACAAAAATTAATTGAAATGAAATTCTTTGTCCTTTATGTTTCTTTTTATCTGTCTACACTCAGTTTTTGGAGAGTACAAAATTTAAAACAATGATCTTTGTTTCAAAATCAAAATTACTCTATTTGACATGAAATACAGTAAAGATAAACAAATTAAAATAAGTTATATAATCATTGACTTACAAATAAATGGACGACGGGTCTAATACAAAAACCACGAAAAAAATGTCCCAAGTCAACCTATTCGAAATTTAAATTGTAATGTCATCGCAGTATCGCGCTGTCAGTAGAACAAATGAAGACTAAAGCGGAGTGTCGCGCTCTGTATACGATTTTAGCGCCTTACAAGTGCGGACACTTTTTAGCGCGGACCCGACGTCCATATAATTGTAAGTCAATGTATATAATATACAAATAGCTGAATAATAACATAGATAGCTGAATCACAGCTACAAAAGACTATACAGTACATAACGGTCTCTGATATTGGGCCATAATGTGCCTTAATGGTTATGAACACACCAAAAATGTACAACATATTTTTTTACGATATCAAGTGACGGGACGACCAAGTCGTGCTTGGTCTTGGTGGAGTGGCACTCAGAGCTCTAAATCGCAAAGGTCTGAGAGGCACTGTCACTGCGTCTCTGAGACCCTGAGACATAAGTTGACAAATTCCATGTGCCCGTAATTTCACCAGCACCCTAACCCTTCAAAACCGGAACACAGTAATGCCCACATTACCGCTTGGCGGCAGACATAGGTGAGGTGGCAGTACTTCCCAGGACTCTTTTACAAGGAGCTCTACTGGTACTAAACTTGTGTGTTATAGGATTGCGTAAACCATATTTTTTAAAATGGGTACGTACCCATTTTAAACTTATTATTGACAAGTGAAAATAATGTGATTTAAGTGAAAGTAAAACATAAATATTGACTCCCGCCGTTTAAAAGACTATTTAAAAAACCCAAACAAGTGAAGTAAGTTATTTAAGAGAAAGTGAAAACGTAATTGTATTAGAACCACAATGGAAAATATTTATTTATTTAGGATCCCGATAATTAAACGAAGACACGGCTCAAAGGACTTGTAGGACTTGTATCCAAGCCTCAACTCCAACTAAGATATTATAAAATAAAAAAAAAATTGAAACCCCTATCCAAAGAGAATTATTATCACTTATCAATTGAAATCGAAATTCATATTATTATTTTTTTCTTTAGAAAGCTATTTAAATTGATAGAAGTTATAATTTGCGCGGTAAGTCGTACCTTTGATATAATAAAGATACAAGTGGTCATTGGTCACTAAAACTTTTATTTGACTAATTCATTAGTAGAATCTTTAAAGCTCTGTACTAAAGGTTGTAATTTTGCTGTGGTCTTATTTACGACCTAGGGTGCGCAATTATTAAGCTTATATATTCTGTTACCGTAGCATGCATCAATTGCACAATGAAGCATAGATAGCGTGCTTGTATTGTGCAAAGTACCCGTAATGTCGCACAATTTTTTTTATAACTTTGAAATTAAATTTTTATAATTTCAAGTAAGTTATTTAAGTTTGCAATAACAAGGACACCAAATGCAGTGTAAGCTAATTAAAATAATGGCATGGTGTGGTTATGGATAGGAAATAAACGACATTCAATTATGAACGCGCTACGGATTGCGTAGATACTACGCGCGTGGTCGTAGGCGGTGGCGGCGGCGTAGCCTTATTCTAACAATCTAAATATTTTTAGAAAATGTACCTAGGATAGTATTGCATTCACAGAAACAGAAAGAAGTATCGTAACATTGTTGCAGCAATTTATTTCTGACTATTTTCGGATAAAGAAAGTTGTGATTATTCCAAAAATTAGCACGAAGTTACGAAATTACGCTTCAAAATTTAAACGACGAATGGCCATGGAGTGGAATTTCTTGCCTGCAGATTTATTTTGTGATACCAAGTTGCGGGATGAACAAGTCGTGCGCCTGATGGTAAGCAACACGCCTATCCATAACAGTTGCAGTGCCACTCAGAGCTTAAAATCGCAAAGATCTGAGGGGCATTGCCACAACGCCCGTCACTCTGAGAAAAGAAAAGTCTCATGTGCCAGCACCCTTACCTTACACAACCGGAGCGTAGTAGTGCTTACATTACTGCTTGGCGGCAGAAATAGATTCCACGCAATAGAATAGGCAAAGTATAGTAAAGCGCAGTACTTCCCTGGACGAACACTTTCACAAGGAGCTCTACTGCTACTAAAATGCCATATATAATACCATATGTATGGCAAACGGCTATGGAGTGGAATGCCTTGCCTGCTAACTTATTCCCTGAACGTTATAACTCGCGCCTTTTCAAGGCGAGAGTGAATAGGCATTATTTAGGTGTGCATGCTCCATCGTCGACCTCATCGTCATTTCCATCATGTGAGAAGGAGGTGAAATGCGCACTTATTTTATAATACAAATTTTATAGGGAAATAGGAGAAAGAGGAAGATCTGGATGGCATTCTTTTTTGTACTAAGTATTATGGACGATAAAAGTAAAACTCGATGTATATACAATATGTAGAATTGTTCCTATGTATATACATGAATTAACATAATATAAATATACGAATAAACATAAGTCGCATTCTTATTTGTAGCTTAGTTTGTAAAAGCAGTAGCGGTAGCAATAATAAGAAGTTAGTAAAGCATTTTCACAAAAGAAATATGAATGTCATGGTAAATAATCTGCGGCTTGGTAAAAGAAGTGCCTAAGTCCATATTACTTACGCACGTCTTTTATGAAGCCACACAAACATAAGTTGCATTTTCAGAACCACACCGAACTAAGTTATAAAGAGCTTCTCTTCTTATTATTTGAGGACTCCACAAAGCAAAGTGTATGAAACTCTATGAGTTCAGTCTTGCATCGCATAAACAGTTCGGAATAAGCCTGTCGGCTTCCATTCAGGACATGAAACGCAGGAAACCGAGTCGCAGATCAATCGCCCTCCCCTCCCGCGTTCTGTCCTCATGTCCCCGCCCAGCGACAGGACCCGAGGATGTCCAGACAGACTGCCTGACTCCTCAGTCTGCTCCCGACATTTGACGCGAGCGCACGTATCGACCGCTCTCTTTTTAAACCACGTCGAACACAATGCCGCGTTTATTCAACATGAACTGAGTGCTCCGTGGAATCTATTTTTTTTGCTAATTGCTAACGGTAAGTCCACGTCGTCTTCCCGTTATGATAATGATGATTTTACAAAAGATGAAGGTATGTCGATATTGTAGTTATTTTTCTATTGCGCAGTACAAAGCGTTTCCACTTGTTGAGTTGCGGTTGAAACTGTGTGTTGAGACTGTGAAGGAAAATGTGACTGAAAAAAGTTATAGTTACTAAATGAGGGGGAAGCCGTTGATAATGGTTGCTTAATGGGCGGTGGAACAGCCACAAATTGCAAATTAAGCGAATCTCAATTCCATCAAAGATTAGAGAGGATATGCTAAGATTATTCTTGTTTAAGAAATAAGTCCCGTTTATTGAAGAAACTTTTATATATTTAGTAGTGAATATTTTATAATGGTATAAGTATGGAATGCAAATAAAAAAGTAAGTATGCGATGCAAATAAAAAAGCCGTGGTAGTCTAATGGTTTGACCTATCGCCTCTCAAACAGAGGGCATGAGTTCAATTTTTTTTTCGAAATTTGTGTGCGATTTTAATTTTAAATTTACCGTGAGCTTTTCGGCGAAGGAAAACATTATGATGAAAACTGTACGTCGAAGAAGGTTCACCCCCTGGGAAAACGTGAAATTTCCAACCCGCATTGTGCCAGCGTGGAGAACTGTGGCTTAAAAACCCTCACCTGAGAGGAGACACGTGCCGATAATGGGACGTATATATGCATGATAATAGTATGCACAGTTTTATTATTAAGTTACACATATATATGTCATTAACAAATATCATGAATAAACGATGGTAGCCTTGTAGGAGAACTGATAGAATCCCTGTGGTAGCATGTAAGGACCACGGTCTAATCACCACGTACATTTTGCTTTGTATGTCCAGGAAGATGAACGTCGTTAATGAATAGATGGCTCTCTCTTTCTTTTCTGACATTCAAATTTTTAATAATTTCTCAGAATCTATATATTTCATAAAGGCGATGTATTTCCTTTAAAACATTTTTTTATGACAACAAGTGATGGGACGAACAAGTCGTGCGCCTGATGGTAAGCGACACGCCTGTCCATAACAGCTGCAGTGCCACTCAGAGCTTTAAAACGCAAAGATGTGAGAGGTACTGCTATTGCGTCCATCACTCTGAGCCATAACTTGATAAGTCTCACGTGGCTGTAGTTTCACCAGCAACCCTTACCCTTCAAAACCGCAACGCAGTAATGTTCACATTATTGCTTGGCGGCAGAAATAGGTGAGGTAGCAATACTTCCCTGGAACTTTAAATAAAAACATGAACCCAGAAAGGCACGAATTAAAAAAAGCATGAATTAATAGGGAAAACAATATTTCCCCCGTTAGCCACCAGGGGTCTTATGAGCTGATGAGTCTATACTCGTTATGTATAAGATACTCTTTGGTATGAACGGCAGCCATCGAGTATATAACCAGAAATAGAAACTAAATGTTATTTATTTTGTTTGAAAACTATTCTGCCAAATCATTACGTTCACAACTGCGCTCCGATTGGCCAGCCCGAATTCGAAACAATTTACGAGTGTCGTCAATTGTTTCACGTCAATTCGACTAGTTTAACTTAAACTTTGCTATAATGGACGAAAATTGAAAAATTACATACATATTTAATTACCGATGAAGCGTGATTCCGTTGGTTTTGTAATTGGATGTTTTGCTATTTCTCCCACACCACCGAATGGAACAGCCCCCCATAGTTAGAGATATTATCTTTATTACAATAAATACAGAATATTTTTGGAATATACGGAAGACGTACACACAGGTCAGTTGTTGGCGCTGTACTATTTCAGCTTTCCAATTTGTGATTTCAGTGCAAACGAGAGTTGATATTTAAAGGTGATATAAGGCCCATTTGCCTGATGAGTTGACAGGGATGGTCCTTATTTCGTCTCTATTTCTGGTTATGTACTCGATGACGGCAGCATGTCTTGCTAAATATTGTCGGATCTTGTTCCATTGCTCGAGAGGCGATAGGTGAACAAAAGACCATAGCTTGACTTGCTGTTGACTGCATGACTTCAATTTCTAGGTTACGTATATGTTAACGTTCAGCTATACCTCTAGTTAAAGGTGCATCGCAGCCTGGGAAAACTGATGAATTCTCCTACCAGTAAGTAACAGTAGAGCTCCTTGTGAAAGAGTTCGTCCAGGGAAGTACTGCCACCTTACCTATTTCGGCTGCCAAGCAATAATGTGAGCATTACTGCATTCCGGTTTACAATACAATACAAAATGCTTTATTTCTCTCAAAAAGGTTTACAAAATGCAGATTTGTTACATTTCATGTTAAATATGAAGCACCTTAGTGAGAGCTGGAGTCTGTACTAGGCTGGGGACCTGTGTTACAGATCACAAGGCTCACACCCTTTTGACAAGTTTATCAGAAAAGTAACACTAATAAAATTTAACAAAAATAATGAAAATTAAAGAGTAAAATAAAATTGATAGCTAATTAGAATATAAAACAAATAGAAAAAATAGAAAAATCTCTGTGCGTGTGTGTTTGTGTGCGTGTGTTTGTGTGTGTGTACGCGTGTGTGTGTGTGTATGTGTGTGTGCGCGTTGGGGTGTATATATGTGTAATATAACTTATTTTAGTATAGTTAATAGTTTTTCAGTCGAGTCATAATTATTGTGTGTGATCAGCCAGTCAGTAATATTTTTTTTACATTTCGCTCTGCATAAGGGGTAAGTTTGGTAGGGTAAGGGTGCTTGTGAAATTACAGGCACATGGGACTTGTCAACTTATGTCTTGGGGTGACGGTCGCAGTGGCAGTGACCTTAAGATCTTTGCGATTTAAAGACCTGACATTACTATCATAAACGACAACTTTTGTTCCATGACTTTTAATAATACATCTGATTTTACTTTCGTACAAAAATAAAAGTGTTTCAATAGATCGCTCTAAGCGGTGATAATTCTGTGCGATAGAACAAAACCCTCACCACCAAAATTATTTTTAACTGATTGCATAAGGGGCTATGGGATGGGAACTGTCCGTTAACCGATTTTAATAAAACTTGGCAAATAGATATAGTTCAATAGTTTTATTTCCTAAGTGTCATAATCGTGAAAATCTAAGAACTCGATAAGTGTATAAATATACTTAAGTATGTATGTATAAATAAAATAAATTCAGAATTTCAGTTTAAAAGTAAACTGCTAAAAGACTATTACATAAAATATGTAGAAAAAGAATTGTAGCGATTAGCTACAATATTATTAATAAACAAGTAAATGTGATAGGAAAAGAAACTATTTTACCGCATTTAAATCGCGTATATTTGTTTTTTCAAACAAACCAACGTTTCGGCCCCTCTACAGGTCCCATGGTTACGGTTGTAGAGGGCCCGAAACGTTGGATTGTTTGAAAAAACAAATATACCTACGCGATTTAAATCCGGAAAAATAGTTTCATTTTCTACGTGTAACAATCGCGAAAACCTAAGAACTCGATAAGTAAATGTGATCATAAATTAGTGAAATGATCAGCAATAATTCACAGAACGTATCCATGCTATTCGATGAAAGGCGTTTGCCTTGGCGAACACGGACGGAAGCGCTTGTTGGCGCAAATTGCATTCAACGTACTTCGTTAGCGCACAGATTATCAGATTGCCGGTAATAGGGTTTTGTTCCCAATTTTGAATGAATGAGAAGAGACCGTTGAGCGTACAGTCATATTATTTATTAATAATAATTTTGGCTTAGATACAAGTCATTTGAGCCATGTCTTCGTTTAATTATGTTTCTGTAAATATGGCCGCCACAAAGAGGACAGGCAATTTGAGGCGGCGTGCTTGGATTGACTCGGGATTCCTTAGAACGGGCCGATACGGGTATTAAGTTTTAAGTATTAAGGCACAATAGCACTATCCTATTCCACTAGGTTTCACAAAATAATTGAAAGTCAAAATAAAAACGACCCTTTTCCCTCCAAAAGGCCCTGAGCAAATCCCGTACAGTCATATTATACACATTTGGTCCACAGTTGCGTTAGTAACTGAGCATCCTTATCATGAACAACATATTCGACATTTTAGCTAAATTGACGTATTAACATATCTGGAATCAGGGAAACGATATCTACGACATAATCTCTAATCGTTTTTTAATATATTGTTTAGTTTCGCTTATAAGGTAGCTGGCTTTTTGTTTTATGAAAAAAAAATAATGACACGTTCAAATAAGCGACTTGTCGTACATTACTTATTTATATAATATAAATCCGTTGGTATATTTCATTCTTATTATTGTTGACATTAAATTGACAACGATAACTAATTGTGTTTATTAAATTATTTTAATTTGTTGAAGAACTAAAACAATTAAATAATCACTTATTCACCAAACAAAAGTACAAGCAAGAATGAAAATTGATGAGGTGTAAATTCAGAACGCATCCGAAGATTCACTTTTTCTTTTTTTTTTAATTTATTAAGGTTTCGGCAAAGCGATCAGCCTAAACATGAAGTTTAATTATGTTTCTGTAAATATGGCCGCCACAAAGAGGATAGGCAATTTGAGGCGGCGTGCTTGGATTGACTCGGGATTCCTTAAAACGGGCCGATACGGGTATTTTAGTTCGAGATTCGTATAATTTCGCGTTTTAATCTTCGATTAAGGCACAATAGCACTATCCTATTCCACTTTAAACTAGATTTCACAAAATAATTCAAAGTCAAAATAAAAACGACACTTTTCCCTCCAAAAGTTCCAGAGCGAATCCTTAACTTTTTCTTTTAATTTAAAAAAACTAATATTTTATAGTTCAATTGTTTACTTTCATCTACCATTTTCCTCGCTATAGTGAGGTGAAAGGTTGTGTGTTTCGCTCGGCAGCAAAGTTGTTTTGCGTCTCGTGTCTTGAAACCCTCGCTACGCCCAGGATTCTATTTTTGAAAACAAACTTAGGCTTCGCTTACTCAGGTTTCAATACATGTACTCGCGTCAAACAACGTGCAAAGTCGTTGTTTGACGCGATAACAAATAACTATTA